AAATTTATTACCGTACACCAAATTCGAGAAATTCATAGAATATATTTAAAAGCAAAAACTTGATATATTCCCTTATCCAAATAGAAATGTAGTACATCCTAGATCACTATGATTGGAGTGAACAAATATTTCCCTTAAACGCATATAAATTAATTTCCTTCTGCTGTCACTGTTTTGATTTGCACTCACAATATACAAATTGAAGCCTATAAATAGCTCTTATAACTTCTTCAAATCCCATCTCTCCCATCCTCCCTCTCTGCCTCACGCACACATATAATGGCTCGCTCTCTAAGTTTTCTTCTTGGTTTCCATTATTTCCTCTTCACCTTCTTCCACTACTCATCACTTGCAGTCAATGCTAATTACGATGTCCAAAGTTTGGGAGCAAAACCTGATGGAAAAACTGATTGTACCAAGGCATTCTTGAGTGCATGGGCCTCAGCCTGTGCTTCTACACAGCCAGCCACCATTTACGTGCCCCCGGGAAGATACTTGCTCGGAGCTGCAACTTTTGCTGGCGAGTCATGCAAAACCACTGCCATAACGATACGCATCGATGGCACACTAGTAGCTCCATCTGATTTTAATGTTATTGGAAATTCTGGTAACTGGATCAAGTTCGAAAGAGTGACCGGAGTTTCTGTCATTGGTGGAATCCTAGATGGCCAAGGGACTAATTTGTGGGCTTGCAAGAATTCCGGCAAGAATTGCCCAAATGGAGCAACGGTATGTTTAACAAGAAATGGACTTTTATCATTTGAAAAACTACTTTATTTGCCTGTGAAATTCTATAATATATTCTAATGTACTTTTTGATTGTATCTTCAATAAACAGACTCTGGCCTTCTACAATTCAAAAAACATCGTGATCAATGGATTATCTTCAATAAATAGCCAGAAATTCCACATTCTGGTTGATGGATGCCAAAACGCCAAGCTGGTTGGAATGAAGGTTTCAGCAGCAGGGAATAGCCCAAACACCGACGGAATTCACGTGGAAAAATCTTTAGGAGTCACACTTATGAACTCTAAAATTGGCACAGGAGATGATTGTGTATCTATAGGCCCTGGCACTTCCAACCTGTGGATCGAGAACGTCTCCTGCGGCCCCGGTCATGGGATGAGGTACTAAAGAAAAAACTAATTTTTTATTACATATATATCCAACAATGGATGTATATAATTATATAATATGTATCCTGAGTTATTGAATATTTGTGAAATTTTGCAGCATTGGGAGTCTTGGCTGGGATTTGCAAGAACCTGGAGTGCAAAATGTGACAGTTAAAACAGTTACATTTACAGGAACTCAAAATGGGGTGAGAGTGAAGACATGGGCGAGGCCAAGCAATGGATTTGTTAAATATGTTCTTTTCCAGGATGTTGTCATGGTTAACGTTGAAAACCCAATAATTATTGACCAAAATTACTGCCCCACCACCCACAAATGCCCTGATCAGGTTAGTTACTCTTTGTTATTGGGATAAATCGGAGGGAACTCGTTCTCAAAAAAATCTCAATGCATTTACACAATTAACTAGC